AGGCTGGATTCGTCGACGCGGTGGTTAGTACATGCTGGATTATCGCATGAGAAGGCGACTTGAAAGTAAGAATATATGTTACATAAATTTACTTAAGTAATAACTGTAAAGCATTATAGCAGCAGGTAGCTGGAAAAGAAGAAATTCTCTATTCATTCTTTGGAAACGTGTTCTTTGGAAACGTGTCTGGGCACGTGTAATCTACTCTACGTAAACTAAATACGAACTAGACTGTAATGTGAAGATGAAATGATTTTTAATATATTTCTGGTTTGACAATGGCTGCTGGAAAAGTAGCGGTCCTACTGCGTAAACTACAACATAAGTGGGTCACGCGAGAAAATCACGCATACATACACACGCACACGCACGCACGCACGCACGCACGCACACACACGTGCGCGCGCGGACACACGGAGTCACACAAACACTCACACTCACACACATTCTCCCGGACATTCACATACATACATACACACGCGCGCACGCACGCACACACACACGCACGCGCGCACACAAACACACACGCACACACACACATGCGCGCACAGACACACGGAGTTACACAAACACTCACACTCACACACATTCTCATACATACATACACACGCGCGCACGCACTCACTCTCATGCATGTACACACAAACATGCACACATGCCACGCAGCCACACATGCACGAACACACATGCAAACGCACGCGCACACATAAACGCGCGCACACGCACAGGCGTACACATGTACGAACGCACACGCAAGCACACGTACACACACAGACACATGTACGTACGCGCCCGCGCACGCACCTAAACACACCCGTGCTTACGTACGCACGAACGCAGTTATAAACCGGAAAAATAAATATAGTTTTGATATTGTTCAGCGGTTAGCTAGGCGTACTGTTCATATTTGTCTCTTGTATGAGATTTACAGACAGGGGAAGCTGCTGTATTTGAGGTGCGGGCTTCCCCGGTAGAGAATATAGTCCTTATCATTCTTGTCATGGCAATGGCCTCGAGGGGTGGGGGAGGTAGGAGAAGGTGGCCGGTGCCCCCTGAATTTTGGATGATAAAAAATATATACAACTATTAAATGCAAATAGGAAAATTTTAAAAGTTGATGTAAGTAAATTAATGTCAATGTAAATATAAATGTCGATGAATAATAGAAAATAAACCCTAACCGTAATCCATGCATGATGCCTACATGTGGTTTATTTTCTTGAAGCCGTTAAATATATTACCTTGTGATTCATTGCTCAATAAGTTCATGAAATTTTGCTTCCCTTCAATAATTTTATCAAGCTACGCCCCCTGGTTGTTCACTTACATGTTAGTGTAGAAGGTAATGTTAACTCTTTTTTCCTCTTGATCACCCCCCACCCCCACCCACCCACACACATGTGCAGGTCACGGGAGGACCTGGTAAGAAAACACTCAGTGAGGTCGCTTTGCTCCGATTTAATGGTCAGAATTCACGAGAGAACGCCATAGCAATTTCAACTTTGGCTAAATCATTGTTCTTCCAACAAAAATTTCTCGAAAATAAATAATTTATCACCTCCGTGCTATATTATTAGACCCCATGCATCTCCTACGCCTTTCTACTTTAACCAATATCCCATCCTGCTCCCAACCCACCGACATTCTTTATTCGAAGCATTGACTTAGTGTAAAATCATGGCAATAATGTAACGCAGAGCTCTTTCTAGAGAAAGATTCATTACGATATCCCGTACATATACCAACAAGTTTATTTTAACATTTGATTGTGTTGTATATTGTTCGGTTTATAGTAGAATATATTGATCCTAACACGTTTCTAATCTTCCTCCTAGGAACCCGCGGCTGAGAGACGAACCTTCTACAACGTGCTAGTCTTCTCTGCGATCGTGGCGCCCCCATGCGGACCTTCACCGACAACAGCAACGACTTGTCCATTATGTTATACGCGATATAAGAAACTAGCTTAAGTAACTGTACTAACTGGAGCTTACTATAGTATGCTCTGTTTCATATGCTACCCCCTCAGTCTCATCTCCTACCCATCAGTTTCTTCTACTACCTATCAGTTTCTTCTACTACCTCTCAGTTTCTTCTACTACCACTCATGCAGTACAATCTATTACCTATTAGTTGCAGTAGCAGGACCGTAAACTGAGCAAATTCTTCGGGGAAGGGGCGCAAAATTTCATGACGCGGTGTGTAATGATCACAGGTCCGTAGCGAATCATTCCAGGAGGGGTGGGTCTTTTTCATCAGGTGGGCTTTTGGAGCCAGCTGCTGGGTCTGCAGGGGCGGATTGACGTTGTGAAACCCGTGGTAGGGGGTCAGGGGTCGTGAAAATGTTTTTTTTAAATTAAACCTCATCGTAGATGCAATTTGTCCTAAAAGAATTACGCTTGTTGGGAAGGAAAACACACCAGAACATACGAATATATATATATATACATTTATTTAATTAGACCGGCTGCATCCCCCTTTGAATCCGCGCATGGTCTATGTACTGCATCAACGCGATCATGCCACAGATACACTCTAAATTATTGTAGAATATTTCACTTGGGAATGAGCTGTGTACAATTAGGTACAAACTAGGGCACAACATTGGCATAAAGTCAATCATTTTGTTTTGCTCCAAAAGCTAGGGGTCAGCTGCCCCCATCCATTCCCCCAGAGGCTACGGCCCTGCTACCCCTTAGTTTCCTCTAGTACCTCTCAGTTTCTCTCTTTTCTCGTCTACTACCTCTCAGTCTCATCTAGTAATTCAGTCTCATCTACTATCCCTTCACTCTTATACTTTATTATCTCATACCCTCACTCTTATCTCATACCCTCACTCTTATCTCATACCCTCACTCTTATTTCATAGCCTTAGTTTACATACTAGGTTGTCGTGATGTCGAATCTTTGTAGTCGTTCATATATTAGTCAGTCAATCGTATATAAATCCATATCAATAGTCAGTCAATCATATATAAATCCATATAAATAGTCAGTCAGTCGTATATTAGTTCATATCAATAGTCAGTCAATCATATATAAATCCATATCAATAGTCAGTCAATCATATATAAATCCATATCAATAGTCAGTCAATCATATATAAATCCATATCAATAGTCAGTC